CATATTTGGACTATAAGCCCTTATTGATGCTGTTCAGTGAAGCTATGCGAACAAAAATAAATCGCTGCAGACATGACTGAAAATGAATGCGTGGTGAATTCCTATTCCAAAGTATGACACATACGGATTTATTATTTTGCACTCCTGACATAAATTACTAAATTACTGTCACTGCAACAATGTTTTATCAAAACAGGGGTCAAATATCGAAGCTAGAGTCTTTAATCTTTCTACTGATGCAGTTTGTCCAGATCAAGTAAGAGTGTGATGTTTTAACGTGCTGTTAAAGTGAAACAATAATAATCTGGGGCCGTCGCCGATCTTTGACAGCTAAGGAGTTTTTAAACATTCGAGAAAGACAGTCTTTTCTGCTTGCCACAATAAATCGCTATTTTTCTGCACTTAACAAGTGAATTTTGCCAAGATATTTTCAGAGATGATATACAAGCTGTTATAGAATAATAATTTAATGAAAATTGACAAAAAAATGACATTAGACCTATTTTTTTAATTTCCTGAAAACGTCCCAGCATGACATCTGGAGGGTTTTCCCAGATTGCATCATATTATTTTGCATTGTGACAGCTTCAAAAACGTCTGCAAGGTCATTTGAGAACTTCATCATTGCAGCCACATCCACCACTGAATCCAGGCCTCCAGTTTCAGCTGTCTCGTGGAGAACAACACGCATCCCTCTGGTCTGCCGCTCCACATTATATCCTCTCTGATTTGAAGCACATTAAACACCCACACACATAAATATATATTAAGAAACAGTGTTTCCAGTTTTGTTTAGAACAGGGGTACTCTCCTTTGAGGTCCACCTTCCTGCAGAGTTTTGCTCCAACCCTAATCAAACACACCTAAACAAGCTAATCAAGTTCTTGAAGCTTAACTTGAAAGGTACAGGCTAGGGATGTTCATATTGACCGGTTAACCGTTAGGAAGAATTTTGATCGATTAATACTATCAGTTAAAGGGTTTAAAAGTATTTTTTTTTAATTCTTTTTTCAAGTATTTTTTAAGATTGCTGCATAGTTAAAGAAAAATGCACTGTACACATCTGTTAACTCATGGGGGGGGGGGCATGTGCAACCATGTGTTGCAAAAATAATTTTGTTCAGATAGAGAACAGACACTACAATTAAAACTGAACACGTCTGCTCAATTCAGCCGAACGAGGGAACCTAAAAACTTTGCCTGATGAATGTGGCAGCATCTGAAGGTAACACTTCTAATTTACACACACGCATACCTTCAAGTGCACCACAAGATTGGGGCCGTTATTTAAGTTGTTAGTGGACTAATCACAAGTTAATATTAAATTACGAGGGAACCTGCAAACATTAATGAGGCAATCTAAAAACTTTGCCTGATGAATGTGGCAGCATCTGAAGGTAACACTTCTAATTTACACACACGCATACCTTCAAGTGCACCACAAGATTGGGGCCGTTATTTAAGTTGTTAGTGGACTAATCACAAGTTAATATTAAATTATTATTAGTATAACACTAAACCATTATGAGCCTATAAAGATGGACGTGATACTATCCGTGCTCAAGCACTGGCAAAAGTAATGAATGTGTCTGGAAAAAATAGCATGGAGACATTTTAATAACTTATTAATAAACTAGTGATTAAGTCAGAGTCAGCTGCGAAGTTGACTCATCTCCATATGACAGTGGACACACCTTTGGAGAGGACATAATCAGGGATTTCAATCTCAATCGGTTTGTTTACAATTACAAAATTCAAGCTTTCTATAGATATATTTCTCATGTTTATAGGGCAAGTATACGCTGAGTTTCGGTTCATTTATATGACACGCTTAAGTTCACATGTAGACAGACAGCAGAAAGCGCATCCTGAAAGTTTTCTTTATTTTACAAAAGCACAACGTTTTGTTGTTAATGTGAATATACACAAATAATAGTTGTTGTTTTTTTACAGTTTTATGATGTATTACTCTTATCTGTATATTTTGAAGTTATTTAGGAGTAATTTAAGCGATCACACCAGCGCCTCCATGTCCCGCACGCTAATTCTTTAGCTTCCACACTGCAGGTGCTGATAATATGACAATGTGTGAATCCTCATGTTCAGTTATTCTGCTGTTTGTAAAAAATAAAAGTAAAAAATTGTTTGTACTATTTGTCACAGGTACTTGTCCATTCTATTTTTATTTAATACTAATTGAACATTCAAATCTTATCAGTTAACGGGTAATGGTCGATTAACGATCGTCAGTTGTCAGTCATGAAAATTAACCAAAGTAAACATCCCTAATACAGGCAGGTGAGTTTGATCAAGGTTGGAGCTAAACTCTGCAGTAAAGTGGACCTCAAGGGCCAGAGTTGAGAACTGATGGTTTGGAAATTTGATTGACCTGAATTCTCTTTAGTACTGGACTAGTACATTTTCTCTGAGATAGAACTGAAGATCTCGGAGTACTGTGACCTCTGATGCATGACTATGTCTGTAGCCTGCATAAAAAAATAAAAAATTACAACTTAATTCATTTTGCAGGTGTGTGCACAACATATAGTGGCCAGGATTCTGGTTGTTTAGTTTCTAATTAATTCACAAGAATGTGACAATATGTCATAGCTGTAATTAATGTATTCATTCAAATGTGATATGTAGTCACAAGATCATTTTGTCAATAGGACATCATAGTCACATGCATTCAACCAATCAATAATATGCAAATCAGTCAAATCAAAGATATCACTTTGACGAAAATCCTTTTCTCACAGATGTCACAATTGAATGTAGCAAACTCTTGTTTTCAACGCACCTTTAGCCTTGAAAGTACACACACTGTATGTAGATGACTGGTAGGTCTGGTCATGTGCCAGTGTTTGAGTTGGTAGTGCCTTAGAAGAACTTGCTGGTTAGCATGTGAAAACTGATGATAAAGCATCCATGAATCCTTTGGCCGCACCCTGATGGAGAAAGAAAAGTACAATTTCTCAAAAAATGAAACGATGCTTATTAAATAATTTACAGTGTAACATTAATAGTTAATTACTTCAATTTGAGATGAAATGGAAGTTGCAACCAATTTCTATTTACTCCATATTTTACTCCACTGAGTAAAATGGCTTGAAAAATATGCAGTCTTCCCCATTTTATATTTGTGTATTTAAGTATGCATGTAAATAACTAAAATATTGGCAGAAAATGTTTTAAAGGGGTCATATGATGCGATTTCATTTTTTCCTTTCTCTTTGGAGTGTTACAAGCTCTTGGTGCATAAAGAAGATCTGTAAAGTTGCAAAGACTAAAGTCTCAAATCCAAAGAGATATTCTTTATAAAA